ATGAAGCCAATGATTTTGAAGGGTTTGAAGAAACGATCCGAACAATGTTGCTCCAAGCTGATCAGGGTGTACAAGTGAATGATATCAATGAATGGTTAGAAAATTGTTACGATCCTGGTTATGAATTGTTAACTGAAGAACAGATTGCGCAAAGTGTTCTCGGAAATGACTGATGATGACTCGGACGATGGTGGTGAGGCTCTGCCTAGAGGTGTCGGATATCAGAAAAGATTGGAACAAGTTGAGGAACTCATTGAATATTCAATAAAAAGTAAACATGAGGTTATTGGAAATTTTTATGTACACCTTACAGCCTTAAAGCAATGTCTCAGAACGTTAGCCAGAGAAAATCAGATTCAGCCAAAAATAGATAAATTCATGATTTCAACGGTTCGTGAAAAATCTTCGTCGACAAGCCATGCTGCACCCGTCGATGCTGAATTACCATCGACAAGTCGTGGAGCATCCGCCAGCAATGAATGCTCTGCAAGCGATGCTGCACCCGCCGATGCTGAATTCCCATCGACAAGACGTGGAGCATCCGCCAGCAACGAATGCTCTACAAGTCATGCTGCACCCGCCGATGCTGAATTCCCACCAACAAGTCGTGGAGCATCCGCCAGCAACGAATGCTCTACAAGCCATGTTGCACCCGCCGATGCTGAATTCCCACCAACAAGTCGTGACAAGTCATCCACTAACGATATAAAATATGATTGAAAGGCATATAAATTAGTGTAAAAAGTGTTGATAGAGTACAGTATTGTAAGTGTTAATGATTAATTAAGCCTAGACAAAAAGATACTGTACAATGTAAATATACAGTAGAAATAATTGTCAATAGTGAAGTAGTATTAGAACTCATGTGAATTAGTAGTAAGCCTAGCTGTTGTGTGAAGTGAGTGCCTGAAAATAAGTGTACATACAGTATGTACCCTGTATACAATATAAACAATATAAAACAAGCGCTGCAGAGGATGACGTAATCTTCACAGCTTCGTAATCTTCAGCTTCATTAAAAGTAAGTCAATTTACCAATTTTATTATAGTATTACAAGATATTAATTGTTTTTTTTTCAACAAAAGCTACATATTAGTCTCTGCAAATGTATATTCTATCGTCAGCAGAGAATAGGTGAGCTCAAAATATTTCGTCTTGGCTAGCTCTCAGTGACAAGGCTCGATCGCCATTGTTATGGCATGGCCGCCACAGCCTGTGTTGTAACATTAAAAATACATTACCTGCACTGTTCAGGGTAAATCAAAACACATCTCTAAAATATTATTGAGAAAATATTAACTTGCTGATTGATACATGAAATATTTTGCAATACAAAGGAATGAATCAATTTTTTCCCACCCATCTGGGCTTGATCAGACCGTGTTCACACATCATCCATGCAGCAGCCAACAACTGGCTTAATCGTCGGTGTGGCACTAAATTGGAATGCAATTACACAATGAACTTTATTTAATTTTAGTTATACAGTATAAAATATATCCTACCTGAATGTTACTTGAAAAATTACCCGACCCGACTTAACTTCGGAAATAACGGAGCTCCGGAAATAACGACTAGGGTACAGCCCCATATAGGCCGTTAAATTGAGTGGATACTGTAGCAGGTCTGATTTTGAGGCACTCAGTTCTTGCTTGTTTATTCTGGCCCTGCCCTGGGATGTGGGCATTTGGTGGCTCCATGCAAGTGCTTCGTGTGTGGTCTTTTCTAGGGCTATTCTCCAATCAGCCTTGGTGCTGCCAATTGTGCCCCTTGTGCCATTGATTGATGTTGCAGAGGCTGTGCTCATTTATTTGCTCCCCTTCTACAGGAGGTGGCAGCAGTTTTCTACTTGCCTCTGTTTGGAGTGCTGACAACCTGTCTAAGCTCGTGTTTTGAATTCAGCTTGGTCCTTTTTCCTGGTGTTCACCTCTCTATTTTTCTGACTCATGGTTCCTGAGGTAGCTACTGTATTTCTTCTATTTTGTTGACTGCGGAAGGCCTTGTCCTTCCAGCCTCCCAGTTGTATGTTGTTGCAGCTTGTTTTTGCTCCTGCAGCACAGGGAAAATCTTCTGGGGGTTAGGGTCTTGCTGTTTCCAGGTCAATGTTGGCAACTGGAGGTGTAAGTATTGCAGACAGTAGTGCTGCCTTTGGCTTTTGCTCCATCCTCTTGGTGATATTGTTGTTCATCTCGGAAGGGGTCGGCTCATTGGGGTACTTCGCACCAGCCCTTTCACAGTTTGCTGTGAAGGAATGCTTGGCCTTTTTTCTCCTGCCTGGACTTGCGATTGTGGGTGTTAAGATCTTTGGAAGGGGATACAGGGTTGGCTGTTTACTCAGTTTTGCTTGGTATATTGTGAAGTGATTGGACACAAGTGGTCGAGTTTACTTTTTCCCTGTAGTGAGTTTTTCCATCTGTTCCCAGTCTCCAAGCAGGATTCGCCAGACCTTAGGCTTATTCACAACCTCTTGGGTCTGAATCACTTCATTCTGTGTCTGACATTCTGCATGACCACTTTAATTCAGGTTCACTTTGCTTTGCCAGTGGGTTCTTGGATGGTATCCCTGAACCTGCAAATGCTACTTGACATATCCCTAATTTTTCCAGGTTCAGGGGCTGGCTAGATTTTTAGTCAGAGTGTCTGTTACTTTAGTTACTCAAAATGTACTCTCTGGAAAGGAGGTGAGAGAGGTATTACATAATATACACATGGACAATACTGGAAGGCCAGATCCCAAATTTGCACAGTAAAAATAACATCATACTGGAGCAAATGATTTGAAAGAAAATGCAGAATAGAGTTAGTGAAGAGTAAATAGGCACAATCCTATGGAGTGCCTTTTAACTTTTAGGCACAATGAGAGAATGTTGTATGAACTTTCGAAGTCCACAGCTGTTCAATATCCTTCAAGCAAGCATACGACATATTGTTGGATCAAAAGTGGACCACTTCAAGAAAAATTATAGTTTTCTGCAAGAAAGTGCCAAATCAACAAGGTTGTAATGGATCTAGGCCTGCAGGCCACTCAAAGCAACAGTCTGTTGGACCAAGTTATCACAAGTCAAGCCTGGTCCCACCTTGGGCTTGAGGAGTAGAACTCCCAGAAGCCACTTCAGGTATGATCCAGGTACTCCATGTATGCTTTTGGGTACTTCTCTTCAACTTAAACCTAGCTTCCTGGACTTCCTGGACACCAGGTTGATGTGGGTTCATGGTGTCACATTTGTGGTTGTTGGTGGTTCACATCTTGGCCTTCCTCATCTTGGCTTACTGGCTGTTTGGGTTTCCAGCCAGTCCATGTAACCAATGGATATAGTTTTTTTTTTTTTTTTTTTGAGATATATACAAGAGTTGTTACATTCTTGTACAGCCACTAGTACGCGTAGCGTTTCGGGCAGGTCCCTGGAATACGATTCCCTGCCGCGAAGAATCGTTTTTTCATCCAAGTACACATTTTACTGTTGCGTTAAACAGAGGCTACAGTTAAGGAATTGCGCCCAGTAAATCCTCCCCGGCCAGGATACGAACCCATGACATAGCGCTCACGGAACGCCAGGCGAGTGTCTTACCACTACACCACGGAGAAGTTTTTTCCCAGTTGGTCAGGTTTGGGTTCCAAATCACCTGGCAGAAGTTCATTTTGGATTTCCGAGACAGCTCCATTCATGGAGCCATCTTCTTTGCAATGGTGTGGAATTGGCAACTTCATGTTTACATGGTTGTACTCCCAGATCATGAGGCTCTTGCAGTGGAAGCTTTTTGGCAGGCCTGTAGTCAGTTGGAGTTACTATCTCTCTTCCATCTGGTTTGTCTTCTCTTCATTTTGTTATCCAGACTGGAGGCATTTTCTGGTAAGATGGTCCTTCTGTCTTCTTGGTAGCTAACTCAGCAATGGTTTCCAGCTCTATGGGTTGATTGTCACAACCCTCGCCAATCCACTTTTTTTTCAGAGGACCAGTATAGAGAGGTTCCTCAATGGTTCATAGTTCTCTACAAGTCTTTGCATCTGGACTTTCTAAGTTTAGTGTATTGTATTAACATTTGTATGGGTCTCACGTGGTGGATCTTTTGATGATGCTTTTGCAGTTTTCTTCTTGCCAGCAGTATGAGGTTGCTTGGCATTCTTTTCATCTTTTTGTGTATCTTCATTGCCAGTTTTACAGTGGTGTTGTATTTTCTGTAGTGGCTTTTCATTGTTTGGCATTTCATGCTGCCTATTAATGATTTGTATCGTTTGACTTTGGCTTTTGGCTCTGAGGTTTCGTTTGTGCCATTTTGTACATTGTCTTGTGATTGTTGTTGATTCTTGATTTGTTTGGCCAGAGGGTGCATCACTTGTTTTTATCTGGTTTTGGCTACTTGTTATTTGCAAGCCACTCAGAACACACGGGGTGCTGCTTAGTATGTCACTCCGGCGTCCCTGGTTCCTTGTTCTAGGGCTCATTAGTCGTACTCGAGAGTCAGTATCCATGTTGCCCCCTGCCATGTGCATCCACCTCCATTATGGAGGTGCCCTCACTCCTGGCAGTACTTGTATTATAATTATAATATCACATACCCTGTCTGTGATGGAACTGCATGCTGTCCTTGTTGAGAAGCAATGTAATTTCCTGACACTGTGCCTTTGTCCAGGAGAGGTATTGACTTACCTACATTTTCCTTCTAGTACATGCATTTATTAACACATTTCCTGTATATTGAGCTCACATGGTAACAAGTTCAGTATTTTCAAGAAAATATTAAAGAATGCAAGCGGAAAATCTTTTGATTGCTGCACCAAAGAAAATAAAGGTTAGATCAGCGAGTTAGGGATGCATAGCCTCTTGCCGCCCAGAGGAAAGATGAGTGTCAAGCCAAAACAGAGCAGAGCTCCTCAACATGAATGATGTTGAATGGTTTGATGGTGACTGTACACTGTTGGATATTTTAGGAATAAATGCAGTATAATAATGTAAATACCACACTGTGCTGAAAAACTGACAACAAAAAATGGTTCTAGAATAAAATCCAGAAGACGATGTGTGGGTCCCAACTCAGGATTTTTGGCTCAGCTGCTGCTCTACCAGATAATGGGTACAAGTCTAGTAGAAAATAATTTGCAGTATCGACTCTACAGGCTCCAGCATGCTTCCACTTCAATGGTTAAAGGTATTGTACCTGTACTTTTAAGTTGTGGTTATGGGGGGGATGTCCCAATAGGTTGTCCCATCTGGTCCTGGGGAGAAGACACTCATGTGTCTGATGTCCCTGCTGTGTCCCCATATTTTCTGTTGAATGTCCCTGAGGCCTAGAGGCCTGTCAGGCTGAGTAGGGCCTAGGACCCGAGTAAATTTTCACTACTGTCATCGCTACTCTTTAACTAAACCTAACCCAACCAGACCTGACCCAATTTCGGAAATCCGGACTCCACCTGCCAAAGATTATTGGGGAATATAAGCCTGGAGACGCGTATGGAAATGTCAAGACACATAAGCCTGGAAACCCACTTCGGCCAATCATCAGCCAGATACCCACACCCACGTACAGACTGGCGAAGCGACTCAACGGCTTGCTGACTCCTTATGTCCCTTGCACCTTCAGCCTGAAGTCTCCAAAGGAATTTGTTGACTTACTGCGGGGAACACGGGCCACAGGGATAAGAGCCTCATTGGACGTAGAATCACTGTTTACCAACGTACCTGTGGATGAAACAATCGGGATGATAGCGGACAGAGTGTATCGTGATCCGGCCTGTACTCCTCTTGACATACCAGAAAACATTCTAAGGAAACTACTCCAAGCTTGTACTAAAGAGGCACCCTTCTTGAGCCCGGATGGGCACATGTATAAGCAAGTAGATGGGGTCGCCATGGGTTCTCCCCTAGGTGTCCTGTTTGCGAACTTCTACATGGGTACCATCGAACAAAAGGTCTTAGTCGACATGAACTTGAAACCGGCCATATACTGCAGGTATGTTGACGACATTTTTACACAGGTACCTAATGTCAGACATCTGCAGGAGCTGAAGGAGGTATTTGAGCGGAATTCTGTGTTGCGTTTCACTTACAAGATGGAGAAGGATGGGAAGCTGCCCTTTCTAGATGTAACAGTCATGGAAAGGAGCGGAGGTTTCCACACTGCAGTCTACACTAAGGAAACAAACAGGAATGTGCCTCAATGCCAACAGTGACTGCCCAGACAGGTACAAGAGGAGTGTCGTTAACGCTTATGTCGACCGTGCTCTCAGCCCAGGAAGCTCTCAGCCGAGCTCAGGATGGAAGCAAGTCGATGAAGAACTCTGTAGGGTAAGGCAGGTCCTAGTCAACAACGGCTTCTCCAATGGTTTCGTTGAAGACATCATAAGAAGGAAGGTGAAACGCCATGCAACCTCTGAAGAGACAACTAACACAGCACCTGTACCCCCTATTAGACTATTTTACAGGAACTTCTTTTTCACAGCTCATAAAACGGAGGAAAGGGTCCTGAAAGATATTGTTAATAGAAATGTTATCCCTACAGACAAAAATCAGAAGATACAATTGACGATCTACTATAAAACCAAGAAAACGGCCAACCTACTCATGAGAAACTCTCCAGACACAAAGTAGAATGCTTTAAAAGAGACCAATGTCGTCTATGCCTTCAAATGCCCACCTGGGGACTGTAAGCCTCAAAGAATTCAGTATATAGGCAAGACAACAACATCTCTTTCCAGGCAATTAACAATGCATAAGCAACAGGGCTCCATTAAGGAACATATAATCTCTTCCCACAACCAGACCATCACCAGAGAAGTCTTAACAAAAAACACGGAAATCATCGATAGATACAGCGATAGCAGGCGGCTTGATATCTGCGAGTCACTACACATTAAGAAGTCTACACCAGCAATCAACAGCCAATTAATGCACAACTATATTCTACCCACTTTAAGACTCCGCACCAACATACAAGCATCAAGAAATACGGGCCAATAGGCCCTTTGCAGTTATTTCCATTCTTCCCTTTAACTTACAAAATATTATACCCATTGTTTCGTGTTCTGTCTTGTGTGACAAGTAAGCTTCTAACATGGATGAAAAATTTTCTGACTGATAGAAAAATGAGGGCAGTAATCAGAGGCAATGTATCGGAATGGAGAAATGTCACAAGTGGAGTACCACAGGGTTCAGTTCTTGCACCAGTGATGTTTATTGTGTACATAAATGATCTACCAGTTGGTATACAAAATTATATGAACATGTTTGCTGATGATGCTAAGATAATAGGAAGGATAAGAAATTTAGATGATTGTCATGCCCTTCAAGAAGACCTGGACAAAATAAGTATATGGAGCACCACCTGGCAAATGGAATTTAATGTTAATAAATGTCATGTTATGGAATGTGGAATAGGAGAACATAGACCCCATACAACCTATATATTATGTGAGAAATCTTTAAAAAATTCTGATAAAGAAAGAGATCTAGGGGTGGTTCTAGATAGAAAACTATCACCTGAGGACCACATAAAGAATATTGTGCGAGGAGCCTATGCGATGCTTTCTAACTTCAGAATTGCATTTAAATACATGGATGGCGATATACTAAAGAAATTGTTCATGACTTTTGTTAGGCCAAAGCTAGAATATGCAGCGGTTGTGTGGTGCCCATATCTTAAGAAGCACATCAACAAACTGGAAAAGGTGCAAAGACATGCTACGAAGTGGCTCCCAGAACTTAAGGGCAAGAGCTACGAGGAGAGGTTGGAAGCATTAAACATGCCAAAACTAGAAGACAGAAGAAAAAGAGGTGATATGATCACTACATACAAAATAGTAACAGGAATTGATAAAATCGACAGGGAAGATTTCCTGAGACCTGGCACTTCAAGAACAAGAGGTCATAGATTTAAACTAGCTAAACACAGATGCCGAAGAAATATAAGAAAATTCACCTTCGCAAATAGAGTGGTAGACGGTTGGAACAAGTTAAGTGAGAAGGTGGTGGAGGCCAAGACCGTCAGTAGTTTCAAAGCGTTATATGACAAAGAGTGCTGGGAAGACGGGACACCACGAGCGTAGCTCTCATCCTGTAACTACACTTAGGTAATTACACTTAGGTAATTACACACACACACAAAAGGTGGTGTCAAAGGAGAAAACCATGGAAGGGTCAGCACAAACAATAAGTTGAGCAGAACAAAAACTTGCAGCAGGAAGTGCAGTGGTCCAGGAATCAGACCCACAGCAGGGAAGGTCCCCACCTGATTGGCAAGAAAAAGGAAGAGGAGGTGCAGACTTAGTCTGGTGAAGGTTACCAACATTTTTGGGTCCCTAGACACCACAGGGGCCAATAATGGGGCATTCAAACAAATATAATGCCTCAAATGCCTAACCCAAGCAAACCTCACTCATAAAGCGGCAGATGCCCAATAAGCTTCCAAACCGAAGCCGAAATAATCAAGGCAGAGACTTAGTGAGAACAAACCTCACAGGACTCTGGGTCATAGGTGTCATCAACTCGATGAGCAGCAAGGTGAAAGCAGAAAAAATTACCATTGTCGAGTAGCAAGGACAATGAACACCCCTTTGAGCTCGCATGTAGCAAGCACAGACTCAGTGGACTGATCCATAATGAACCTTGCCTGAGACCTGCATGGGAATTATCAAGGCCTAAAGGCAGCTAGCCAAACAGGACATCCAAGCACTGGGGCTGCTCACTGAAGGAACAAAGTCCAAATGCATCCAACACTCTTAGGTTACAAATGAGGACCGTGGCATACTACAGTATGTGAACAATCTCGTGCACTCTCACACAACCAACTGAATTTCCTTTACCCCAGTGGCCTGGCATCTTTGGGGCAAATTCCCAAGCATACCAGAGAAGTAACTATCTGTGTAGGGGCAGCTCCAGCAGGCACACAGGGAAGAAAACCCTGAGCACATGTAGCCTGAAGCATAAAAGCAGCAAAGGCTACCCTCCCCCTCCACAGGGCAAAACAAGTTCAAGGACAGCTGGCACATGACTTGAAGCAAAGGGGCTTGCCCACGACTGATGGATCGTAGCATTACAGGTAGCTTCAAACAACACCACATCAGTGACAGGACTGGCTGGTCAGGGGGAGCCAGCTGTGGGCTGGGGCCAGGCCACCTGGTAGTTGCTAATGGTATTAACGAGTTTGAGATAGTTTAGAGTGAAGTTCTTGTTGTATTTAGATTGTTTGTAGAGGAGTTTGACATTTTTGAAGCTACCTTTTCTGTGACCCTCCAGTTGTCTGTAATGCACTAACCTTCTGGACACTTCTGGTTGGGTGGTAAATTGCCATTCACTCTGTGCCTCTAGGAGGGGGGGCCAGGTTCTGGCTCTGGTCCCCAGTAGACCAAGCAGAACTCCTGCAACTGATGTGATCCTGTAGGGAGAGCAATCTTGATGAGAGAGCTTTAGGGAGCCACGAAGGGGCTGTTCCAGAAAATAGATATGATTTTATTAAACAATTAAGATGCAAAGGATCTTTCAATCAATTAATTGGAATTCAGGAAGATCATCATCTGGATTGCCTTTATTAGAAATTATGTAATACATGGTGCTTAATGCTTTGTTTTGTTATGATTGTAGGTGGCAAGAAACATCTGGATGAAAAATATCAAAATCTTGTGCTGCCTGATCCTCGATTTAGTCCAAATTCTGATCTTGTGGCATACAAATGTAGAATCTGCAGGTAAGTGTAACAAGTTAGATGGATACTAGCCACACTTTGCTGAAGAAAATAATATGGCATGTGTTTGTGTTAATTATATTTTAATAATGTGTCAAAACATATCTTCATATAATAATTATAATAATAATACTAATAATTATAATGCACAAAGAAATCACATTACTGTAATGAGATGTATCAATGAGAAAATCAGCAGTAGCCACAAGGAGAAGAATATGAACCTATGCTCTGGGTTCTCCCTAGCACACTTCGAACACCACTACACCACAACATGGTCAAAAGTAATGCAACCTGGTATTCAACCGAATCCTCTAGGGGTCCTGAGGCTTCAACTGAAGTCAAGTCAGGGTTTTCACACATTGCCTCCATGCATTCTGGATCTGGTCTGGTATCCAACACTTTACTTCAAATGCACAAAGAAATCACATAAACATAATGTATCAATGTGAAAATCAGTTGAAGCCTCAGGTCCCCTAAAGAATTCAGTTGAATCCTAGGTTACATTACTTTTGACCATGTTGTGGTGTAGCAGTGTAAGAAGTGCACTAGGAAGTACCCAGAGCATAGGTTCATATCCTCCTCCTCGTGACTCCTGCTAATTTTCTCATCAATACATCACGTTAATGTGATTTTTTTGTGCATTATTATTAGTTAATTTATTTATTAAATGCCCTCAATAAAGTCCAGTATTTTTGTGGGGCTAGTTTTTTAATAATATGATTATTCTTTAGGTCTCCATTAATAAGTCAAGATTCAGTTCTGCCTCACTGTCAAGGTGAAACCCCAAGTTGGAATGACAGCAAATGGTCAGCAAAAGCAGATAAACTTCCAATATGTAATAAAGGCATTTTTACTTTTCCAATTTCTTGGATGAAAGATGCATCAAGTACCTTACAAGGAAAACTTACCTGTCCAAAATGTCAGGCTAAAGTTGGAACCTATAACTGGTGTGGAGGTAAGAGTTCATTGCTAAATTACAGTACTGTACATTATTTTTATATCAAGCTGATGTATATTTGACATACAGTACCAATAAAAACAAGATTTTATTCTAAGTCTTTTTTCTGGGGGAAGTCCCTACAGCTCCCCGGACAGTAAATTCCACCACTGACACCACCTGCCTCCCTTGACAACAATTTCCACCACTGACACCACCTGCATCCTCTAACAATAACTTCCACCACTGACACCACCTGCCTCCTCTAACAATAACTTCCACCACTCACACGACCTGCCTCCCTTGACAATAACTTCCACCACTCACACCACCTGCCTCCCCCTGACAACAAATAAATATAAATATATATATATATATATATATATATATATATATATATATATATATATATATATATATATATATATATATATATATATATATATATATATATATATATATATATATATATATATATATATATATATATATATATATATATATATATATATATATATATATATATATATATATATATATATATATATATATATATATATATATATATATATATATATATATATATATATATATATATATATATATATATATATATATATATATATATATATATATATATATATATATATATGACAATGTCAGACCACGGAGGAAAAATGAAACAGGAAATTTCCTTAAGTACTTTCGTATATTAAATACATCTTCAGAAGGTCATTTTACAGATCGAGTGATGGGTATAAATAGGCAGGAAGGAGTGGTGAAGTAAGGTGAGGTACAATACTTGGACAACGCAGACGGCCCATTGGCCCATCAGATGCACCCAATTGGCCCATCCGATGTAGCCCAATGGCCCATCTGATACAGTAGACATACAAGCATAATATATAGGCAATTATAACATAAAGAAGTAAATATATATACAATAAATTAGTGAGACAAATGTTTTTCAATGATTCTACTTAAATCGCCCTTTAGCTGATCTATTAGAAATGGATCTAAGTTATATAGACCACTGCTAATATTCAAATTACTTTCTTTGGTGATCTGTATCAAAGCAGATTCAATTATGTTTCTGTTATAGGTGCTTTTACAATTTGTTATTGAAGAAGCACTCTCCCAATCAATTTGGTGAGCTTTTTCTGACAAATGCACAAACAAAGCATTAGACAATTGGCCATGTCTTACAGAGTATTTATGTTGCGATATTCTGCATTTTAAATCTTTAGATGTTTGCCCGACATAGAACTTATTACATTCCTTACAAGGTATTTTATAAATGACGCAATTATCACTACGAGGGCTGTTCCTTACTAATAGCTTACCAACAGTGTTTTCGTAGCTAAACATTACATCTATATTAAAAAGTTTCAAGACCTTGACAATATTCTCAAACCCAGAGAAATATGGTAAACATAACACATTCTTTGGGCGAATCCTTTCACTGCATACATTATTATAATATGTACGACGAGCTTTGTTACGACAAACTTCCAAAAAATTCAGTGGGTAACAAAGCTTAAGACCAATCGAATCAATATTCTTAAATTCTTCATCTAAGAATTCTGGACTCACAACTCGAAGAGCTCTTAGATACATTGAAGAAAAAATTGACTTTTTTACATTGTATTTATGCCCTGAAAAATAATGAACATAAGATAAATTGTTCGTAGGTTTTCTGTAAACACTAAACTTTAATGAAGAGTTTTCCCTATGAATAAGCACATCTAAGAATGGCAAACATTTATCAATTTCAGTCTCCATAGTAAATTTTATGGAGGTGACTTGGTCATTAAGTTTGGCTACAAATTCGTCTGTGTTTACATCTGAAGGCCAAATACACAAGATATCATCTAAACCAAGGAATGATTCCAGGAGTTATTTTTTAAACAAATTTCTTTTCAAAGAATTCCATGTACAGGTTTGAGAGCAATGGCGATAGAGGATTCCCCATTGCCATTCCAAAAGTCTGTAAATAATACTCATTATTAAAGGTAAATTTACATTCTTTAATGCACAATTTAACAAGACTGACAATAATATCAGCAGAAAGAGGTAAGTCATGGCTCATTAGTTCACGAGCAAGATAATCGAGAAATATGTGGTTTCTCGATTATCTTGCTCGTGAACTAATGAGCCATGACTTACCTCTTTCTGCTGATATTATTGTCAGTCTTGTTAAGTTGTGCATTAAAGAATGTAAATTTACCTTTAATAATGAGTACTGTATCAGATGGGCCATTGGGCTACATCGGATGGGCCAATTGGGTGCATCTGATGGGCCAATGGGCCGTCTGCGTTGTCCAAGTATTGTACCTCACCTTACTTCACCACTCCTTCCTGCCTATTTATACCCATCACTCGATCTGTAAAATGACCTTCTGAAGATGTATTTAATATACGAAAGTACTTAAGGAAATTTCCTGTTTCATTTTTCCTCCGTGGTCTGACATTGTCATATATATATATATATATATATATATATATATATATATATATATATATATATATATATATATATATATATATATATATATATATATATTTATTTATTTATTTATTTATTTATTTATTTATTTTGTGCCCTTTAACCCTTAACATGCTCAGGGTTTATTATCCTGTCATCCCCACAGGCGCATGTCATTTTGAAAAAAAAAAAATTATTTTTTCTTCCTAACCTGTTAATTTGTGTTCACTGATCACAGGAAAAATAATAAAAAAATCGTAAGTGGCATATATTGCCTGCTATAGGGCAGGGAAGTCTGGCAAATTATAGGCGCAGACTCAGCATGCGTCCCAGGCGGTCTGTTGCTCGCCAGCTGTCAGGCCGGAGTTGCCACAAAGAGATAATTACCTAATTATTTCAATGTCTCTGATTGACTTTTCATAGTTTTTTTGCTGTAATATTATTCAATAGTGTGTAGTTTGATATATTTATATAATAAAATGAGTGAATCATTGCTGTACTCAAAAATATGGTGTGCATATTGTTGATTCAATTATGTTCATCAATCGGTGAACAAATACTTTATCGGTTATTACACTATAAGCACAGGTTATATATAAGTATCTGCATGTTTTGTTTACTATTACGAACCACTAAGTAGCTATTATGAGTCAAAAAGTAAAGAGGAGTGACCGCCGTGTACCAACCAGCCACTCCCGCCCTCCCTCCAGTCATCTGACTCACCCACATTCTCCTCCCACAATACTGTTTTTACTATAATTCACTGTATACAGACGTTTTATATAAGTATCTACATGTTTTGTTCACCATAACTGTACATCTAAGCTTGTATGGTGAGTAAAGGCACAAAGACGTAGGACCTCACAGTCAGCTGATGGCTGCCGCCCTCAAGGCCAGACGCACTAATATTTCTCCTCCAACAATACTGTGTGGTGTTATTACGCTATATACACACATTATATATAAATATCTACCTGTTTTATTCACCATACTTGTACAAATAAACTGGTATGGTGCCCAAAGACCATCGTGATAACCAGTAAACAACACCGTCGTCTGCACGGTGGCGTCGTGCAGACGACGCCATCGCCTTCACCAAAATGGCGGCTCCAAACCTTCTCTTGCTGTTTATACCCTCTATACACACGTTATATATAAGTATCTACATTTGTGTTCACCATAGTGAACCACTAAGCTGGTATGCTGAGTGCAGTCAATAAAAGGTGGCCACACACAGTCAGAAGACATCGCCACCACCCTCCCTCCCACAGCATTACTCCTCCCTCCATGGCGCACAGCGCTAAATATCACCACAATCCTGCTATTATCAGAACCCTGGTCAGTTTTATCACAGTCAGGGGTCTTCTGTAATAATATCATCGCTACATAATAGCATGAACAAGTATATTTTGGCATTTTTAGGCGATGCTGTGGTCACAAGCTGAACAGCAGTGTTGTTAGCTCATGCTGCGTGCGTCAGGCTTGGTTGCTCACTCAATACTGAGGCCAATAAGACCCGGGAGTTTGGCCCACGATTTTTTTTTAAAATGGCGTCTGTTTACAAGAGCCCTGATGAAGGTGTGGTGAACCCCGAGTATCCGCGGGCCGTTTAAATCTTGTGTAGTACTCCAACACATCATATGACGTGATGTGCACTTTAAGGGGGCGTCTGGTTGGCATCTGGGTCCAAAAATGCAAAAATGAAAACTCATTCGATTTCAATCAAACTTTTTTGACAAGTTCTATATGAAAAGTGTTTCATCTGGTCCAAGTTTCAGCATTGTAGCGTTAATAGGAAGGGAGAAAAAAAATATTGAAGTAGTTGTGAAAATTATGCCAAAATGGTCAAAATCGATGATCAATCAAAAGTGTCAACTGAAATCATAAGTACAACTCTTTGCTATCACAATAGCATATATTAAACAAATATTATTATTAGTTTAATTGGAAAAAAATTTTAAGGAAAAAAAAAATTTTTTAATATTTTTTTTTTTCATTTTTTTTGGGGCGATTTGCATCAAACTTACACACCTGACTGTACGTAAGCCTATCTGTAAGGATGTCAATTTTGGAGAAAATTGGTTAATGTCAACCCCAGCCACAGATTTTAGAACCTTAGACTTTATTCATTTCTGTTTTTTTTTCAATTGACACAAACGTTTACAAAACTCATTCTTTTTTTATTCAATTTACATGAAACTTACACAGTATATGTGGAGGGCATGTCTCTACATTGGGGGGCTTTCATTTTTCTCTAAGTTCATTTATTGATTTTATAATAGCAATAAACATGCCATATTTGCAAAAAAAATTTGGGGAACTTTGAACATTTGTATTAGGAAAACTAAAGATGTTTTGGAAATTCTAAATCCCCAAATCCTTTATTATATGCTAATGTGTCAGAAAAGTGTCACAGAATAATTTTATCTGAAACGTGTGTTCTGAAGTGTGGACTTGAAAATGTGTAAAAAACGTTCAAAAAAAAACAAAAACAAAAAAACTCCCTTTCTATTTACGCTGCAGTACTGAAACT